TTTCTTCCATAAAAAAGAATGATTTTTGACTCTTCTCCTCTAGATTTACAGGCTGAAGCCATGGCCACATTTAAACCCATTGCTTATAGGACAACAAATCTGGTTAGAAAAAGGCATTATATCTTTTCAGAGGAGTGGAAAGGGAGAAGCTAGATTCCTCTTACTCACGGTGTGAGCAAACCATGAGGCTGAAGGAAACTCCTGCAGGGTAAAATGTCAACAAAACGATGGGAATTGTATGTCAACAAAAGCTGTGACAAGGGAATCAGAAATATCTGCATGTTCTTGTCTCTCCAATGTTTTATGTCCTGGATAAACTCTGCGGCAGCAGGGGGCAGTGAAATTCTGGTATCCCTTCTTTCAGTTGACTAATATTTAATAGCTTCCCCTGTTACAGCCCTGGGGAGCGAGCTGCTGGGAAATGTACTTACTTTCCAAATTTTGCAGTCAGGTACCCACTGCACAGACACCCTATCATCCCACCCGTGCAGTAGGATCAGGGTCTCCTGAGGCAGCACAGAACTGTATCACTCCAGCCAAGTTTCATTGACAAACTTCTGAATGTACTGGAAAAAAAAGAGATTTTTGTTCCACCAAGGCACTAATCATAATGTTCTTCATAATGTTTACAATTTAAACAGATTAATAGTCGTGACTGAAAGTGTGACTGTAAGACTGTAGGACATTTGTTTGCAAATAAGGATTGATCTTTCCTCTCATACAGCCTAATAGTGTACAAGTATCTTTCAAAAATTAATTATACCCTTTAGTGTGTTGTATTCTACCTCTCCTACACCAAAAAGCTAGGACCTTCATTATATTATATATTCATTATAGTAAAGTGCAAATGTTCTTGTGGCCAGTAATGCATATGAAGAAGAAAGGGCTGAGCTGAAGGCTGACTCCATCAGCTATTTTTGGGTTATTTTTTTCCTCCATGACATAAACTTTAAGGAGGTATCTCAATATGTTGTTTCCACAAAATTCTGTGGGAAGTTGTCTTTGGAGCACAGCTCCTTGCAATCATGCACATTTTGACAGTGACAGCATTTCATTTGAAACAGCAGGCAATAAACTGACAGCAACACCCAAGAGCTTTTGTAAAGCATCTGCAAAATGCAAGGCCTAGGACCAAGAGGAACAGCTAGAGATGGGATTTTCTTTTCTCCAGCTTTGCCTACCAGAGAAGTGTAATTTGATGACAGACATTTGAAAACCAGAGAGGTGGGTTCCACCAATGCCCAGCACCACAATCATTAGCAACAGCCTCCGGTATTGAACCTGCCAAAGAGAACAAAGCACATCCTAAGCTCCTGATACCAGCACACCTTTCAGACCATGAGATAATTTACAGCACCTTATGTCTTCACATTTCTATGACTAAGCAACCTTTAACATGCAAAAACCCATCTTGAATTTCACAATAATCAAGAAAATTCATTTGTTAAATTGCTAAAATACACATCTGCACATTCTGCTATGTTCCTCACCCAGCTATTAGCAATCTAAAAATATACATTCTGTAGTTCTGTTAGTTCTGCTAACCACAGAAAACAAAAAGCATAAAAGCCTTGCTGAGATCATTTGTGTTTACCTTTGTACTAGAAAGAAGCTACAGCTTTCTTGAATCCCTTTTTGCTTTCTCCTTTGCCTCCTCAAGGACAGTGTTCACCATTTTTCAGAGATGACTCAAGTCTGTCCTCTCAAAACCTTTTTTTTTTATATTTCACTTTCATCAATCTTGTATGAAACTATATTTTTATTCAGATATTTTTTTATCTGAATGACTCCTATTGGAAATGCTGGGTTTCTATGATATACATTGAATTTCAGAGCATTTCTCACAAGCACATATGTTTCCAGATATTTAGTCAGGTCACACTTTAAACTGGTAAGTTTTCTCAATTGTCTTTGAAAGCACAGAGCAGTAGAGTGGGAGAGTGTTTTGTGTTTTTCAGTGATACTGTGTTCTCTATCTCCCCCCAAATTCCTTTCTTTCCTGGTTTCTCAGGTCCTCTCTTAAACCTCTCACTGTTTCACATTTCTAATGTATTTTCTTCAGATGCCATTTAGTCAGTCATTGTTCAGCCAGTGTTGTCCCAAGCTCTGGTGCTCATTTTTATTACAAGTATTCCCTTTGCTGCAATCTTAGACCATGCTGCTGTTAGTGACCAGGGCTAGAACACAAGAATTTGGACCCTCACCAGGTCTGAGAGGAAACCAGCCATTTCACCTTGAAACCCTGCCCGCTCTGAGAGCCCTTGTCAAGTCTGCCAGATGAGAGAGATGGGTTCCACACTGAGATTGTAAGAGTTTGGGATCACAGCACAGAAGTTATATTCTAACTATGTGGTGTTTAGCAAATTGTGTCCTCCCCTGACACTGGCCAGGGCCTCTTCTTGCTGGTTTAATTATTCTAAGACCCAGATATGACAAGGTGATTACAACACTGGTAAGTGTTTATCCTTCTTCAATTGGGAGCACTTGCCCTTACTCACACTGCTAAAACCCCTGAGTGTTCCTGTTGTGTGAGGAGTCAGACAGTGCCACAATCTTCCCTTCAGTGGAACAGAGTCCATCTTTACCTCTTTGAAAAGCAGCTTGGGCAGAGGTTTTCCTCCCCTCCCATCTACAACAGGCCTTTAGAATTGTAGCTCAGCCATAATACCTCTTCTTGCCTGCTAGAAGATTTACAATTGCTTGAACTATTTTCCAGATGTAGGAAATGAAGAGTTGGAATATTGGCATTTTGTGTCCTTACTAACTCCCAGTTCTTTACGGAGGCTCAGAGTTCTTCCAGAACCACTCCGAAGTCTCTCTGTAACAGTGGAATTGGCCAGAGCACAATGCAACATCTCAGTGGGCCAGGAGCTGATGAGCTGGAGGAACTAGAGGGGAAAGGAAGATTCATCTTTGAGGTGAGGATGGAAGGAAAGATACACATGGCAGCTCTAGACTTTCCTGGAGAGGTTTCTAAACACTGTCTGTGACCAGTTTTTAACATCTGGTAATCAAACAGTCCCTGCAGAGCCTTGCTGTTTTCCTCCTGTTGTCTGTGTCCCTCTAGAATACTCCTAATGCTGTCTCATTTTCATCTGGCCTCACACCATGGTTCAGTGCTGTACAATGGAAAAAGCAAGCCTTAAATGCCTAGTAGAGGTTTTATTTCTTTTCCTAACGAAGAGGACAAAGTGCATCTGTCCACCTAGGACTTGAACACTACATGAAATGTGTTTTTTCCAGACCCAGTATTAAACTCACCAATAGTCTGGACTTGGAGGGATTTTGTTTTCAGAGATGCTCTGTGTTGCACTTGTATGACCCTGGATCCATCCTGGATCCTGGAACTGCAGATTCACAAGTACTTCTTCAACCTTTATACCCAATCCATGATAGTTTATGGAAGTGTTAATGATTTAGCACTCTTCCCCTCTTGTGGACAGCCTTTAGTAGGAGGGGAGAAGTAAGGCAGGTTGACTACAATCATGCTGCAGAAAGATATGTTTAGGGAAATGAGTTTTTAATGTGTAGTAAGACAGTAAAAACTTCCTCATTGGGAACCAGTAAGTTTGAGAAAGACCAAACCAAATAAAGACCTTTCAAATAATCAATTACCTAATACTTTTTTCAACACACTTCCAGTGCTTCTTTCCACCCATCCCCCCCTGCATTTTTGACCAAAAGAAGGAATGTAGGCTGGTTATTAAAGTGGCACTGAGCAATCAATGATCTCAAGCCTTGAAACAATGAACTAGGTTTTTTTTTGTAGTATGATGATTGTCATGGGAAGGATGGCTGGTTTGGGAAAGTTCCCTGCTCCTGGTATTAGCTTTTGGCACTGCCACAAATACTGCTGGAGGAAAATGTGAAGATAAAATAGCAGGAGCCTTAGGGCTGTGAAGGAAATTGCTGCCCAATATGCAGATCCTTTTGCAAAATTTATTGTGCAGCATTTGCATCAGTTGGTAGTGAGGATCTCATCTCCAGAACAAGACAGACACAGTACTCCTTGAGCCCAACAAGACTGCCCCAGAAGATGGGGCCTCCTCTGTCCCTGAGTCTTCATTCAATGAAAATCAATCCAGGCACAATCAGAAGGATGTGTTTTCCTAGTCACAGCTCTTTATTTCCTTATCAGAAAACTGTAAAGTATGAAGAAGACTAAAAAAACTGTCATGTCATATAGCAATGAACACAAATATGAAGCTGTTTTTACCAGGTTTTGTAATGAAAATGTGAAGTATTCAGAGACCTGGAAAGAGAACAGTCACACACATGGATTAAATTCTCCAAGAGAGGTGTCCCTCTTCTCTGTCTTGCAAGTGCCAGTCACTCTCAGGGCTCAATCCCATTGAAACCCAGCATTCTCCAGGCTGAGAGACACCACACAGCCACTGCCAATGAAGTAGAATCTGCACACTGTGTTTGCCCACTCATGATTTCCTGCTGTTCTCCTTTCTTTGCTTATTGCTTTCTATCAGTGCTGACATATCCCTGTTTTTCCCAATAGAAGAATCTCCAAGACTGTAAACGTGGGGGAACATTGCATATTGATTCTGCCTGCTGATAGGCAAGGCACTCTTCTTTCACTGGCTTAAAAGAGCTAAACACTTCTGTGAACTGAAGCTTCTTTGGGAAAGCTCATTGGCATTGACTTGTTAATAGGAGCAGATAATTTCAGTGTCAAAGCTCTGTCTTCTTTGAAAGTTTGCTGTACCTCTGGTCTTTCCAGAATCTCTTCTGCCAACTGTGGAGTCCTGGTTTTGCCAAGAAAATAGCAGCTCCTCTGTTTTTAGTTTATAACTGGAAGCTTGGAGGGACTGACAAAGATCTTATTTTCTCTACAAACTGTTTATTTTTTTTCTGCAGAGGAATTAATTCAGCTCATATTTCAGGAGCTGGAGAGGACCACCAAGTTCATGCTGCACCTTGTACTGAAGGTGAGTTTTTGGTGGATCTATAGATTCTCTCTTGCTTAGTGAAACTTCTGGTCACTACAGTAATAAAAGAGCAAAATAGGAAGTGGAGGGTTTGTTCTTAAAGCCTAGTAACAGTCACCACTGAGCAGTTACTCTGCTGTAGGGCTGCCTGCCCCTTCTTTCCACGATAGTTCAGGCGGTTGAACTCCTCCTTGACCTGTAGCATGGTCTTTCCTTTGGTCTCTGGCAGCACCAGGAGTACAAAAATAGCCATGGACAGACAATATGTCAGGAAAATGATGAAACAGAAATTACCAAGACCTTCCTACAGGAAAACAAAGAAAAAAAAAAAAGTGTGCGTAAACCTTTATCTTGATTTCTTTCTCTTATGATATAGAGTTTCTGGGTTTGTATTTACTAAAAGAAAATAGTACTTAGTTGATATAAATCCTGCTTCAGATTGCATCTATTGGTGTTGGTGCCTCAGTCACTGCATCTGTTTTGCCTATGGCACTCTAACTTGCAGAATTAGAAGCATTTTGTGGGTTTGCTACACTTCCAGTAAATATCTGGTTAAGATGGAAGAGGCCATCAGAACTGCAATTAATTTGGGCTCTGTCCATTGCATGAAGTGTTGATAAGAGAAGCATGCTCTGGATTCAAGAGGGGTCTAACTTCCTCTGAACTGAAACAAACACCCTACTTTGCTTACCACAATGAAAGGGAACACAAGTCCAAGGATGAAGAGTTGGATCCAGTTTATAACACCATTAAAAACATAAGCAGCCGGTCTGTATGACTGAATAAATATTTCTGTGATCAAGGGGCATACTACTCCACCTGAAAAAATATTGAAGAAAGAAGGAAGCTTAGAAACTTTGCAAGATGCTTTTGTATCTCATAATTAATTTTGCTGCATAAGTTAATGGCTTTAAGTGGCCTGGAAGTGTCTGAAGTGGTGCTTGGCTCTTCAGAAAAAGGCATGTAGGAATGCAATAGGAAATGAATTTTACCTCCTAGCATAGAATGTAGGGAACTATTGACACATGCACTGAATCAGAAGTAGGGATTCATGCCAATTGTGGAACAGCTATGCCTGGGATCTCTCCTAAAAGCTGCAGTGAGGAAGGAATGAGTGAATAAATGAAACCATTCCAGTAGAAAATACCAACCTGGCCCGATGCCAAAGCTCATTATGAAAATAAAGACAAGTGCAACAGAGCAGTATGGTACCCAGAAAAAGGAGTCCTGTGGTAGTAAATGAAAAGCAAATAACATCAGAAAATAAAATTTTATTTATCTAGCTCCATTACAAATATTCATCACTACTAAGTATGTCAATGTTTAACATAGATCTATTTCTTCTACTTTCAGAAATGTCATGAGATAGCCTTGGCAGTGATCTTGGCTGTGTAAAGCTACTGTCTTTAATCCAGATGTACATGGCTGGGAACAGACCTCCATGAATATGATGGTTAGCCCCCAAAATACTTCTACTCACTAAAAAGTGATTTGTGGGGAGGGAAATAGTCATGCTATCTGTCATGCAATAAAACATGGGCACAATTCTAGTACATCAGTGGGGTTGTACCTGCAGTGAGAGTGTGACTGTGAGGAGCCCTAGAGCCAAGGCCATCACGGCGTAGTTCTTCCACAGCAGTGTCTTCCTCCCTGCACGCTCGATCAGGAGGCCCTGCAAGCAGGAGGAGATGCTGCCACTGGTGAGCTGCTCCAGCCTCTGCCTTCACTGGCCCCATCTGGGGGGCCTGAGCAGGACCAGGAGCTGCAGGAGGAGCAGGAGCTGGGAGGTGCTGCAGGGAGCACTGTGCGGGCAGAGGAGGTCAGAGGTGCGTCCTGCAGGCAAAGCAGAGCCAGGCAGGAGTGCAGAGTGGGAATGCTCACTCTGCTGTGATTCCTACAGCCTTGGGTCCTACTGGCACATGACAGCTGCCCTTCCTCCAGGAGGGAACTGGGACTCATAAGTCTGGCCCAGAATGAGTTGTGATTTTGACAGAAAGACTCCCAACTCTTTCTAGAAGCTCAATAGAAATGTTCACGGTGCAGGGTGTGGGGAGAAGATTTTATCTGATCTGTTCCATGGTTGATTTGTTGCAAAAATTTGATTCCTGAAGCTCCATTTACAGTATTTCTGAAGATCAAAATGAGCAATGTATTACAGCAGAATAAAATTCACCTGAAAAGCCACTTACACACAGAACTGTGGAGAGGATCTCAGTGGTCCCAATCCCCAGGGAGACATAATGGGTTTGAGCAGGGGGGATCCCAGCCTTGCTAAAGATACTGTATGCATAAGAGTAAACCTGGAAAGAATAGAAATCTGTGAAAGCTGTACACATGTGGCCATGTTTACACTAGTGTCTGTCTTTTTGGACAGAAAATAACTAACCAGACCTTAACAAAATAGAAAACCATCTCATCATTCCAGGGTAATGAAATGCCTTCAGAAGACACTTGCTAAAAGGCAGGTCTGGATTTATCCCATGTCCCAGACTTCCAGGGGGAAAGGTTGTACCAAACAGTACCAACAGATCCCTCCTTAGGGCACTGCTGCAGCCACTCCCAGCCCTTGCAGAGGTTACTTTAGCTGAGGAGCTTTGCCAGCCGTGCAGGGGGCACAGCAAAGCACTGCACGTACCACGTTGGCCCCAACCAGCTGGATGCAGGAGACCACGAGGAGCAGAGTGATGAGCTGCCAGCGCACGGCTCTGTCCCGCAGCAGGTCCCAAACGCTCTTCACCTTCTCCCCACCGATGGCTCTCTGCTCTGACAGCATGTCATTTATTTCAGCCAGATGGTCCCCAGCGCCCCACAGCTGCTTCACAGCTGGAAGGAGAGGAGGAGAAGTGGCCAAGCTCACCAGCACAGACATGAGACCAGAAGCTGTTTTCCTGCTTTGCAGAGTATCTTATTAGAATTTCATGCTCTTTTCTTGCATGAACTTCCTAGAGCTCAGGGCTCAGAATGACAGATCATTCCTGTCTGGTTTTACCCATAAATCTTAACATGACCTCACCTTTGGCCAATAGCTGCTGACAGTCTTTCAATGTAAGTCACACTTATATTCTTACCAATCCTTCCCTGAACACCTTCCTACTAAAGGTGAAGTTCTAGTGCATACTCCAAAATACAGACAAGATAAAGTGACTCCTACATATAAAAAATAAGTTCACATTGAAGGAGTTCTATCTTTTAATAGTTGAATACCCACAGTGACTGTTGTTCAGTTTCTGTCAGTAGCTGCTGTTAGGGTTACTGAAGAACTGGAATGCTTACAGACACGGCATGACAGTGCAGAGCCTCTCTTTCTCACACAGAGAAGGTACTGTAGCTGTACTCTGACTGTTCAGGGCAGAATCTGCATTGTTGGAAATACAAGCTGTGTGTGATCACCTCCCTTGGAGGACCCTGGCACAGGGTAGGGGAAATACTAGTGCCAAGAGAGCACTAATATCCATAGAGAAGAGGCTGACTTTCATTTGAGCTCAAGGTGCTTTCAGAGCCAAAATACCAAGAGTCTTTTTCCCATCTGTACCTTTCTTCCTAGGCTCATTTGGGGCTTTACAGAATTTCCCCTTTGTTCCTGAAAGGAATGCTTTATGATCCATTTCCTTACCTTTGATGCATCCCTCCTTGTCCTTTTGGTCAATGAGCAGGTAGCGGGGAGAGTCTGGGAAGAAGGGGAGGGTGAGAAGCTGAGCAATGGCAGGAACTGCATTGGCTGCCAGGAGAATTGGCCAGAGAGCCTCCACTCCAAGAACTTCTCTGGAACAAAAGCAGCAGGGTGAGAGGGGCTGAGGCACCGTGTGTCCCGGCAGCTCCCACCCGGGACTCTCCAGCATCGGCTCCTGCTGCTCAGAGCCGGGCACAGCAAGGCCACCTGTGTCCTCCTGTGTCCTCCTGTGTCCTCCTGTGTCCTGAGGGCTCGCAGGGACTGACAGTCCCAGCACAAGAGCTGCAGGTAAACCTGCAGGGGCTGATCCCTCTGCTTCTCATCTAAATAGGCTCCATTACCATTATTACAAGATTGATGCATTACCAGATTGGTACCGACTGCCCCAAATAGCAGCCCCTGGGCACAGGTGTGCATTGATATATGCATATATTTTAAGAACAGAAGAAATTGAGTATGTTTCAGATTCTCTTACCTGAGACCCAGAGCAAATCCTACAAATTTTCCAATAGCAGAGAAGGTAGAAGCTGTTATGGCAATCAGCCCGCGGAGCTTCCGTGGGGCACATTCCCCAGCGTACATGATATGGACATTCTGAGTTAAACCTGCAGTGACAAAGGACTGTTAGGGCCATGCAAACCCTGCTAGCTCTGGTGTTTTGGAGGGGACCACTATGGACAGTGCCTATAGGCTTGGCTCTCAGATACATTTTTGTCTGTGCTGAGGATGTGGCTGCCTGACATGAAGCATGTGCCCCCTACTGTGGCCTTGTGACTTTACTAAATATTTCACTAAGTAAGTATGGGCCTGTGGGAAATCTGTCCTTCAGCAGGCTGCCCTTCTCTTACGTTGTTTCCTATAGCCACATATACAGACAGCACTGTGGTTACTCCCTCTAGTCTTAGATGACATTTTTCAGTGGCTATTCAGATGATATGTGCCTTATTTTCTGCTTGAAATCACCAAGTTGGCAAATGCTGAACATTCTATTTGGTCAGTGAATTAATTAATATTTATCCTCTCACATTTTTTTCTGGTTAGTATTATCTTTATCCAACTACTCAGGGACCAAAAGCACTGGTAGAATGTAACCTTCTGAGGCATCTGGAAATTAGAATTGAAAATTATAATTGAATTGGCTTGGAAACCATTCCATTGTCTGTAATGTGCAGGGCAGCATCAGCCACAGTGAAAAGCAACATGAACAACAGAGGGCAGCTCTCTATTGAGCAAGCATGCTTCCCTGAAATATTGCATGTTTTGGCTTTTTCAGAAATTGGCAGTACCTTTTGTATGGACTGGATATAAAGATTGAAGAAAGAGAAATGGAGATGTCATACATTACTCATTTAATTATGTTTGTGGTTTCTTATTTAGTGAAAAATGCACTCAGCTATCATGCTCTCTGCAGAATGTAGTAAAAAGTCTGTGATCTGTTTACTCAGGCTGGTGAATCCTTGTGACCCTCAATCACTGCTCTTCCCACTCTTTAATACCACAGGTAGGAATGCCAATTTACCTCCACAGACTCCAGAAAATAACCTTCCAGCAATGATCATCTCAAAAGAGCCACACATCCGGCTGAGTCCCATCAGAGCTGCACCCAGCAGAACAGGGATGTTGGCAAGCAGCATGGCCTTCTTCCTGGAATTCATTCAAATTCATGTGAGCACAAATACTGCCCTTGCCTCATTCACAGCCTGACAGGAGTGGCATGAATTGTACCATGGTTACAGACTCAGTGCTGGCTTCTGAGATCAGCTGAAGTAAATGGGAAATGGCAATGGGGAAACCTGTCACAGACTGATCAGTTAGCTGAGGGTTTGGATGCATCTAGTAGAGTCAGTATCTACACTGGAGAACTGGAAGCTTTGTGTGTGGTTGTCTCTGAAATTCTCTTTAAAATGCATGTACTTCTTGAATGAGTTCCCTGGATTGGATTTGCTTTGGACTTTATAAGGAAGAGGGTATGATTTTCCTTGTGATCATTGGCAGATTTTCCATTCTGATTCTTCACTATACTGGTCTTTAATTGGAAGCCCTGGGCTGCTTCCAGTGCCAAATTACTAGCAGTGTTTCTCACACAGTTTATTTTTCTGCAGTAGTGGGTGTAAACAGAAGGAGTGGTGTAGCCACTCTTCCTACCTTCCAAATCTAACACACAAGTACCCAGCAGAGGAGGAGCCCAGGAGCCCACCGATGCTGTAAATGGACACAATGAGGGACCACATCAAAGTGATCATCTCTGCACTGGGAGAGGAGCCATATCTCTTCAGCCAGGTCTCACGGATGAAACTTTGGATGTACTTTAAAAAAAAAAAAAAAAAAAAGGACTCAGTCAGCATGTTTTTGCATAATTGCATTGCTTTGTAATTTTTCTTACCTGCTAATTGGTCTTTTTGATACATTTCTATCGATAACCTTGGTTGAAATCTTAGCCCCAATGAAATCAATGGGAATTTTGCCATTACCATCCCTGGAGCTGATGTTTTAGCAATGAGATCCAATGAATAAATGTATCGATATTAAATATCAATTGTGAGTTCCAGTAAGGAAATGGTAGGCTGGTCTTCTGTTTCTGTGCTAAACTCTGATTTTTTCTCTACCTGATCTTTTCCTGCCATTCCCACTCATCTGTGGTGATAGGGATGAGCTCAGTGACCTTGGTACCATTCAGGATGACAAATGCCACCCCAGTTTTCCTGTTCCAGCTGCAGGTACGAGTGCTGACCTCAGCTCTAGAGCTACAGTCCTTCCCTGCCCTATTCCACCTTACAGCCACTTGGAAATAGTGTGTGTGGTACACACATGGTACAAGGGACTCCCTGAGCAATGGAGAGAGGAGAATGCCCTGGGAGCAATTCCACTCAGTAGAAGGAAAATGGCTGACTGACTTTTGACTATTATTCATCCTTTCTTTTCCCAGTTCTGTCACATTAGACAGAAGTTGGAACCTCATTAAACACAAGAGCAGTAGCAGCTACTCTTAGAACCAAGAAACCATGATAAGTCTAATTCTGAAAGCGCAAATAAAAAAACAGCCACTGCACGAATGCCTGACAACAGTAGAATCCTGGTAGCTCACTCTTTGAGCTCTCCATGCTTACCTCAGCAGGAGAATTGATAATGGAGACCTGCAATCCATAGTGGAAGGTTCCAGTCATGCCCAGGACAAAAGCCAGGAGAAAAAGGTTGTAGCTCATTTTCTTGCAGGAAATAAAACCACCAAACAAACTGGTTCAGCTATCCAGACATGCCTCCAAATGTGCTGTGTTTTCTTTGGGAACTCTAACAATTTGAGCAATGCCACACACCTGCCTCCTCCGAGACCAAGGAGCAATAGGAAACCACAGCTACTGAAGCACAGGACAGTGAGAATGCTGAGTTTAGGTGAAGCTCACAGATCCCTCCCAGAACCCAGTTACACACTTCAGTGCTTCAGTCTTCAGTTTTGGCCATCTTAATCTGCTCTGTCATAGTTGTGGGAGCATAGTGCAACGTGCAAAAGCATTTTGTGAACAATTCCATCCACTTGTCCTTTCTCCTCCTCCTTTCCCACTTGTTATCTCACCTAAATGAATATTTTGCTCAGTGACTTGGCTGAGACTAGATAAACATTTGGGGATTGAAGGGCATTCCTGGTTTCATAGTTTATTCACCTTTTCTTAGAATTCTCTGATAGGAGGCTTAAGAATATAGGACTGCAATACAAGTGCAGCGCTGCCACTGCTCCCTGTTACTGGGGATATTCTGGCCAGCAACAAGAGTGTGATGCTGCACCTCTATGCCTGGAATATTTCATATTCAAACAGTGACTGCCAAGCGTTTACAAGCCAATATCTAATCAGGGAAATGTCATTGCTTGAATTGGCATCAAGCCTCTTCACACCAACTTGCATGCAAAGGTACTCATCCCTGCTTGCAGTCTAGGTCTTTCCTGATGCTTTCTTTGGCTACTTTGGAAAAAGTCCCTTTTTATATAGAGAAAGAGGAGCCTGAGATAATATTTCAGCATGTCATTTTGTATGGGAATAAATCATATGGGACTCCATTTTCTTCATGGTGGGAAAAGGCCATTCTTTATTCACATAACTCCTTTTTATACAGTTTTACAGACCTCTCGTGGGACTCCAACTGGTTAGTAGTTTTCTTGCCAATTACTTTTATTGGTTAGTAACAAGTTGTTGTTCTGTATTGACTGGTCACTCAAACTCTCAGTGTCTACCTGCAGGGACAGCTGATTGAAGATAGTTTTCATTTTTCTATCTAGTGGTGCACAAACAGTTTATGCAGGTGTGTTTTTTTTCACCCAGGAACAGATTGTTTTGTTAACAAATTGCACAAAACAGGATTGCTTTCACATGGGAACTTGCAAAATGCTGGCTTTGACAAGGCCAGCCACTGATTCCAGGAGAGCAGGCTTGATTTCATGAAGCCTTTCTCTATGATTTTTCTACCTTTTTGCAACAATTTTGTTCTTTTGCAGTGTTAACACTCTCTTTGGTTTTTATGGAGTTCTTGCTTGTGTTGGTTACTGATGCAGCTGAGAATAGCTGGTGAGCTGTGTGCTCCTGCCAGGGCTTGGGTGTGCTCTGGCAGCAGCTGGGGACAGTGGGAGCTGTTGGAGATGAGTAAAGGACAAGGAGGAAAGCACCAGTGGAAGTCAAAGTCCAAGGACTGGTGCAAACTGGAGTGGGCTGGCTTGGACTCCCCAGGTGGTGGGCTGGGTAATCAGTTATCACATCCAAAGGAAAAGTTCCTGACTGCTACCTTGAGCCTCAATCCAGAAAAACCTTTTTAAGCCCTACTTGACCAAGACAGACAATGCCTGTGCATCCAGCTGTTGAGCTGACTGATCAATTGACTCCTTAAACGTAATGGTCATTGGCTGAAAGTTAAAATCTGTATCCCTATAATATATGGCAGACGCTAGGAAAATTTAATGTCAGTTTTAATTCCTGACTGTAAAATCTTTTGTTTTATCCATAACTTTCCAAGGGCAGTGTCCAAGATGGTTCTGTTAAAAGGCTTTTACAAGTTATTCAAACAGCTTAGGGGGGAATTCCTTCTCCTGGTGAGTGGCTGCCCTTGGTGGTTCCCCAGGCTAGGATGCTGTGTGTCTTTGGAAGAACCCCAACAGCAGCTGGTTGCAAGTGAGAGGTGGCTTGTGCAGAGGAGCAGTGTTGGAGGACAGCAGCAGTACTAGTTTTCCCTAGTGCTGATGGTTATTAATTAATCCAACAGTGCACAGTTATTTGATTTGCAAACAGTAATGTCATCTGTGAGTCTCTGAGAATCACTTTGCAAGATGTGGTTTTGCCTAACACTTCATATAAGAAAATGTGAACAAGAGTCATAGATTTTGCAGTTGAAGGTGTTTTAATTCAGTATCAATTAACCAACTTGTTAAATGCTTCAATTAAAATTTAACAACTTAGATCAACTGAAATGTAACCACTGTTTATGTTTGCTTAATCAGTTTATAGATCCTTGATTTCAGGCCACAGTCAGAAAAAAATGCTGTAAGTTGGAATTAATGTTTTCTGCCACATGTGCTCGCAGGACTGGCTCTGAAAGTCAGGAAGCCAAGTGAAGGTGTATAATTTCTCACCAAGCCTGTTTCATACTGCCAGGTGCAGGTGGCCCTGTCCTTGCAGGGCTCTGGGAACAGGCATGGTCCTGACTCACAGGAGTAGCCACTGAAGTGTCCAAGCAGAGGACCTCTGGACACTGGAGGACTTTTCTCTTCTCTGATCTCTATGCTCCAGGCCTCTCCCTCTGCCCAGGCAGTCTCCTCAGTCCATCCCTGCTTCCCACCCTGCATGCTCCCCACTGATCCACTTCCCTTCTTGACTCTTTGCTTCACTTCTGTCTCTTGTTCTTCTTCTGGTCCTCACCAAAGGAATTGCAGAACATTTTGCCACCATCATGATGGTAGTGGCACTTTTTGCTTTGACTTCGTGCTTCAGTCTTTCCATCAGCTCCTCACTGCTCTCTCCAAACTATAGTAATGAAAAGTATCTCTTCAGTTCCCAAGTCTATGGTGTCCTGCTCTTTTCTCAAAATCCTGCATAATTCAAAATCTCAGTGTTTTCCAAGAGCAGAGGTAGCTGCTCTTGCCCATGTCTATATATTAATGATTTCTAAAATAGCACTAACCTCAAAGGGAAAAAAGTTTACTTTTATTTTTCATACATTATAAACTTCGGGTAGTAAAAGAGTTCTTGCACAGACTTCTCTTCTGAGAAATGGATCTGCTGCTCCACTCATGCCCAGTATGACAATAATACACTCCAGAAATGTTTACAGTCTTTTTATTCAAAAATGCTGCATTTTTCTTTAAAATGTAGTTTAAAAACACACTGAAAGAAACTTTACCTACTTATCTTGAAAATGTACGTGTTCTTCTTCATTGTAAACATGAGCAATGCTGTGCCTTTCATACAAAGCCAAAAGAAAAGAGCTGGCTTGACTGTGACTTTGAGAAGAAACTGGAAGAAACTTAACAGTCAGGCCAATGCCTGTGAAAGGCCATATTCAATGAGGAGTGCTGCCCTGTTCTGTATCAGGTTAACTGAAAAGAATCAATCTCACATCTGGGTCTTTGCCAGTGTGTTCTACAGAGGCAACACAGATAAGCTGCAGAGAACATTGTGAGGTGATCTAAAGATCCACATCCAAAACAAGCTGCTGCCATGCCAGCTCCTCACCACAAGTGCAAAACCTGACAAGATGCACCAGCAGTGTCTGTGGGAGCAGAAATGCATCAGAGAATTACTTGTGCTTTACAACATAGGGCTGGAAGACAACAAACAAGCCATGAAGAAAACCAGTCCAGAATAAATAGTCTGCAAAACAATGCCCAAAAGTCTGTTGTATAATAAGCCACTTAACAAGTACTAGAAGCTTTCTTTCTAATCCATCTGTCACATGTTTTTATAGCTGAAAATAATTAACTGCTCACTATTGCTTAACAAGTAGGGGTCTATTTGAAATCAGAATAACAGAAACAACAGGAGCACCAAGACAAGGGACTGAAAATTTCATCTGGTGTCTGAAAACAGAATTTAATTGCATTAATTTCTGTGTTAGAAAGCCCAGATTCAGGGGCAAGGAAAGAAGGACTTCTGAGATGGAAGTTACTTTTTGGAGAAATTCTAAAGAAATTTTCTAAAGCATTACATGGTGTTGTATGATGAGAGAATAAGGCATCATTCTGTCACTCTCTGATATGGATTCTAAAACATGCATGTTACTCAGTGCTAAAAGCTGAGAACAGATGATTGAACTTTTGCTTGGATTTATCAGTTCAAGTTTATGTTTCCAAGGTGAACTTAAGAAACTAAGAGTAATATATTGTCCCTAACTTCTCTCTTTGTGTCCCTGCAAGGGCACATAGCCACTGCTGAATTCACTGCAGAATCCCCCCAGATACCTTCTTCCTTTCTTCTGCTACAATGTGGTGGTTTTGATCTCCTCAGGGCCTTTATAGAAACCTCCATGGGTCTTTGTTTTGAAGTTGCGTTTCCTGAACTCCTCCGAGATTTCCAGGAAGGACTTTCCCTTTGTCTCAGGAAGGAAAAACCAAACGTAGAGGGCAGTGCAGACACAGACCACAAGGAATGGGATGTAGCAGAAATGTGCTAGACTTTTCTGAGGAGGAGGAAAAAACAAGACAGTGTTGGTGACATTCTGTATGATGACAAAAAGGCCACTAATCCCTCTTCCTGCGTGGTCTAAAGTCACCCAGAGAGTATTTCTGTGAATCCTGGTGAGAGTGTCACATGCCTGGATGCAGCAGTTCTCCAGCATAGACTGGAAATTTGACATAGCAAGAACAGTATTTTGAAATGTCTTTTTCTGTCTTTCTCTCTATAATTGTATAGCATGGAAGCCCTCAGTAGGAAATAAGACAGGAATGCATATTGTGGAGTTCTGCTCCTTTTTGCTTCAGGAATCATTTTAGGGAATAGTGCCAGGGTCTGGCAAAGGGAAATTACATCACATCTTTAGTTTCAGCTGTTCTCTATGAGGACAGACGAGGAATATTTATCATCCATCCCCCAAATGATTCCACTCCCAACCTCAAATCAGAAATCACCAAAGTGAACACAGAGAAAGTTTACTTTTCAAAGAAGTGCTATATATTCTCTTTTCCTGGTCACTACCAGAGCCTCTTTCTTGCACAGAACACAGAGAGCTGCTTTGCTTTGGGAACCCACCACAATGAATGGAAAGGCTGTTCCAACCAGAAACAGGTTGAACCAGAGCAGGGAGCCACAGATCATGTAAGCAGCTGGTCGGGACATTTGATCAAAAACCTCTGTGGGCAGAACTCCTGTTACACCAGCTGGAAAAAAATGGCAAGAAAGTTAATAATGTTGTTGACATTACATTAAAAGCAAGAGAATACATCTTAACAAGAAAACCCAATATGAAGTATAAGAGGTTAATTTTTAGGTTAAATATTAAGGGACTGGATAATTATTCAAACTTTCTCCTGTTAGAATGAACTGCCAGGAAAGATTTTGTAATCCACATTATTCTTACCAGGACCCAAATGTGAGAAAGGCTTATAATTAATTCAACTCCATGGCACTGTAGGGACTGGGACAAGAAATTATTGCCAGCTCATGTGGCATGTGACACTGGCAGCTTGGTTCTATTTTTACCTGCTTTTCCTCAAACTCATGTGAGCAAAGAGAGTCTCACATCTATATATTTACCATGCAAATATCCACAACATCCTGTGTATTGCCCACCCCCAGAAGCTAGTGTATTCTGCCACTGTTAGTAGGCTAACAGATAGATGTGGAAATTGTGCTTCCAGGTGTCTGCAAGAAAATAATCAGAGGGCATAGCCAACAATTTCTAGGATTAAAGTCAAGCATTAGGAATTCTGGTTTACAGACCTAATGGACTGGGCAGCAAATCAAAAGCTTGTCCTCTATTTAAGCCAAGAATCACTTCCAAATGCCTTGGCTTAGTAGCCAAGATGATTGTGAGGGGGAATAGGACACAGAGAGAAATGGGCACAGCCTGGCCCTGCACAACACTGATGGACCAGGGGCAGCAAACCCCTGGGACACAGCAGAAACTGCCTCATTCCTTGGAGTATGCTGCAGATAAAGAGGGTCTGAGAGTTTCCATAAGATGCCTGCACACATCTCCAAACCCCTGCAGTACCCAAAAGTTTCACTGAAAACACTGAGGGAACTGACCTGGTCCGATTCCAAAGCTCAGGATATAGGCGAAAATGCAGGCCATGCTGAGATAAGGCATCCAGCTAATCTGAGTCTACAGCCACAGAGACCAATGGAAAACCAGTGAGGGCACTTATTTGCCACCACTGAACACCCCAGTCACACAAAAGGCAAAGCCCAACTCCATTCCACTGAAATAATCCAGTAAAGTTTGTTACCTGCTGGCTCAGAGCGACCATGAAGACAATGGCCCATCCTGCCATGAAGGTGTACCCCCCCAGCAGCAGTGGCCTCCGACCAGCATAGTCTATAATCATGTTCTGCACAAAGTGACACAGTGAAATAAAGCAAATTATTTCACCTGGGTTTATATTTCCTGCCTCTTTCCTCTTTACCTTTTAATACTCCATTCCTACTTTGCACTACAATAACTTTCAGGATGTTGTCTGCTTCACAGCAAAAAAACCAAAACTCAAAAGAAAGTTCTGGTGGCAGGAGTCAGGCAAGAAGGGTGCTCACGGGAGATGAGAATGCCCCAGCTGCACCTAAACTCTGCCACCATCCATATGAACACAAAGCAAGAGAGTTAGACTCGTTAGAGTTTTCAGATAGTGATGGCAGTGCAATGTCTGACCAAATACCTCTGCATTAACCCATCTGGCTGGGGGTGCTGACAGGCAGCCTGGCTCCTGTGCTTAAAGGGCTTCCTTGGCATGAAAAGCAATGTAAACCCCAGGTTTGCATTTAGCAGCCTCCTCCCTGCCAGCAGAGGCTGCACGTCACCAGAGCGCACTGAGAGTCTCACACAAGTGACAGATGTGATCAGCTCACAGCTTCCCGTGCCGATTACAACGTAGGGGATTTTGTCCTCAGGAATTCCAGCCTCTTGGAACACATAAGCTGCATAAAAATACATCTGTGAAGAGAAGAAAGGAGAAAGCAGTAAGGGAAGACATCTGCAAACACATCCCATTGTTTTTCCTGAAGGGCCACGCAGAGTGACCAGAGTCACACAGGCTATTTTACAGCATCCTTCTGAATCTTCCCATAATGCACAGGTGAATTTTGGGAACCAAACACGTGCCATGTGAAGATCTCCCCAGGCAGAGAGACACTATTCATTCCTCTCCTGCTGCCAGAAGGCTGAGCCCAAGAGCTCCCAGGCACGGCCTGGGACACGCGGGCTGCTTACCGAGTCGTTCCCGCAGAGCTGCATGGCGCTGCTCAGCACCACGACGCTCACCAGCTGCCAGCGCAGGCCCGGGCTCTGGACCAGCTCCCACGGGTTCTTTGCTCTCTGGCCTTTCACTGCAGCCTGCTCTGCCAGCATCTCTTCCAGCTCTGCACTCAGGTCACTGGTGCCTCTGAGCTTCTGCAGTGCTGCAGGGACAAGGCAACCTCTTACTCCTGGGCTTTCTCTTCAGTTCGCTGCTCTGCAGGGTGAGGGATCGAGCAGCAGGCGATGGCTGCAGAAAGCTGCAGGACAGAGCCTGTGACCATGTGTGACCTTCACAGAGTTCATCAGCTGTGGTGTAGCCACTTGAAAGATTTGGGGGAAAGGGACTGCAAATCCCTCACCGTTGTTTGCCAAGTGAGTATTTCCCAGCAGTGCCAGTTTAGCTGCCATGCTTCTGCCTCAGATCTCAAGTGCCTTCCCTGGGAAATGCAGGCAATTAAGATGTTCTTGGTACACAGCACATATTTCCCACAAAGTAACTCCAGCCACT